GTATAGATGACCCAGCAACGAACGTGTCGGTCATCAACGTATGAACCCAAGTCGTAGCAAGCTACAAGGACTTAAAGGAACAACGCGTGACATTTCCCCAAAGGGACTGACACAGGAACGAAGAAGGACACATGCCGGCCAGCCTAAGTGTTTCGGAGTAGTAGCAAGCTACCATGGCTCAGTGGAAGCACTAGGAGACATTTCCCCATAAGATAGGCTACCAAGAATAAACAACTAGGTTGTCGGATCCCACACATACCAAGAATTTCAAAATCATACACACAATATCCTCGATGTGTGCAAATACAACATGGCATCACAAGGAAACTCTACGACTCGACGTATTTATTCATAAGGCTCCGAAGAGTCATACATAGTAAGAATTACAATCATGGGTCACATGACCCAATATACAGAGCATACAAGCAACAGAAGCATAACATGTCTGAGTACAGACAACTACAAATGAAAAAGGCTAAGAAGCCTGACTATCTACATGACCCTCCCAAAGGTACAAGATCGTAGCTTAGGTAACAAGCTAAACGTTGAAGTCCACGTAGAACTACTAGTGAGACTGAAGTCTCTCTGCAAAAACATAAATTAAGCAAACGTGACTATAAATTTACCCAGCAAGACTTACATCAGAACTATGTACATATGCATCAGTATCAACAAAGGGGTGGTGGAGTTTAACTACAGCAAGCCAGCTTTGACTCAGTGGCTATCCTGTACTACGACTACTGGTAACTCTTTCGAGGTGGCGCACACGAGTCCACATATTCACCAATCAATACACCACTATGGATCCGCTCCCGTCTCCCTACGAGAACGCCATCCATAGCACTCACGCTTATCTTGCACATTTTAGAGTATCCATTTTCACTTGTCTATGAACTATATAGGCAACCCAGAAGTCCTTTACCACAGACGCGGCTATTCGAATAGATCATTTATAACCCTGCATGGGTGTACTTCTTCACACATGTTTCCACCACTTAGCGTCTGCACACGACATGTGCTCAGGGGACTTCAAGGGAAAGCCGACATGGGTGTAGACCATGACCTGAGTAAGCACAGAAGTTGCTAGTACATGTTTATCGCCTATTTAGGTTCCATTCACAGGGAGTCTGGCCGAGGTTTCCACTACGGCCCCGAACGATGTGTGCAGGGTTCCCGATACACCAAACGGGTGACTCGGTACACCGGGCCACGTGTCTACCACATCATATCCCACCACTTGGGTCAGCGCTGCGCATGGCCTCCAGCATACTACAAACACCCGAAACTACTTGTAACTCCTGACAGATGACAGGGGGTTAGTAAGTCGAGCGGGGTCATATTTCAGGGCCCAATGTGTGGTAGTAGCTGTTCATGGATCACAAACACAGAACTCAGTTCCTGAGGACGGTTTCAATGAGACAACCCACCATGTACTCCTACATGGCCTCTCACCACTACCTTTACCAAATCATGTTCACACAATTAGCTCTCAACCGTAGGACATGTTCACCACATTCCAATTCATCCCCGATGAATCAGACCTGACTCAACTCTAAGCGGTAGCAGGCATGACAACAAGCATGAATGAGTAGGCACATCAGGGCTCAACCAACTCCTACTCATGCTAGTGGGTTTCATCTATTCACTATGGCAATGACAGGTCATGCAGAGGAAAGGGGTTCAACTACCGCCACATGTAACCGTTGAATCATTGTTGTCCTAATGCAGTAAAGAAAGAGCAAAAGTGAGAGAGTGGGATTGTTTCAGAATGAACAAGGGGGTTTTGCTTGCGTGGCACTTCTGAAGATGATATAGCTCTTCATCGGTGTCATCAAACTCATCGTCGGAACATACGTCTACCGAGGGTGAACAACCACCGGCAAACAAGAGGGAACACAATCAATGCAATGCAACAATATGATTCATGAATGTGACGTGGCAATATGCTGTGATTTGAGCTAATGCAGCTAGCAATAATTTAAATGGAGTTGGTTTGAACACTAAATTCAAATTCAAACTCCATATGTGATCATCCAAATGTCATTTATTTGATTTTGTCCAATTCAGCAACTATAAGTTGTTCTAACATGCATGAAAATGGTACAGATGGATAGATTGGATTTTTTTGATCATTTTTCATATATAAATTATTTCATTATGAGCTACGGTTTAGTTTCTATGATTTTTAGAAGTTTTAAACATTTTTTGAAATTTCCAATTTATTTAGAAATATGAAAATTCCAGTAAATTTATTTATGACCTCGGCATTATGCAAGGCTGACGTCAGCAGGTTAACTGGGTCGGCCAGGACAGACCTGATGAGGACATGACTTCCTTGGATACGACCAAAAATATTGCATACATGTATTTTTGTGAGGTGATTTCTAATGCAAACTATGCAATAATTTATTTATGTCATCCAGGACAAAAATACTTCACAAACTTTTGTGCCATGTCTAATTGAGGTGTATGAGACATTTGTACAATCCACATATGAAGATAAGGGAAAAGGAGAAGTTTAGGTGCTGTTCAAAAAGACCTCTCACGTCACTTTTGGGCCAAGAGAAGATAGAGTCCAAGTCTCTCACGTTCTGGATTCAGATTCAGACTACACAGACATACCTGACTCAAAACGCCAACAACGTTTTCATACGGACTCTGAATTGGGTGATTCTTTTTTGTTGGGAAGTATATTTTGTGCTCTTTCCAACCCAGTTGGATTCACCTTCAAATTTGTCCGGCGCGTTGAGATATCGACGAAACAATCTAACTCTACAGCAGAATCCGAGTCAAACTACAAGTACAAAGGTGTTGCATCACCTCCACTTGGGCCCATGAGTCTTGTATGACCTAGGGTTAGTTTTATGCTGCCTTGGGACGTCCTTCCACCTCCTTGGCCACGACCCCTTGCTCCTACATAAGTAGATCCATCTAGTAGCTTTTTTCTTGGGATTTGTTTAGTTAAAAGTTAGCCGTTGCAACTTCGTGTACTTCGTTTGTGTCCAACGACCAGACCAAGACCGCTTTTGGATCCCCACCTTGATCAGTACTTCATATATATTTGCAATATTCATATTGCTTTATTATATTCTTGCTTATTCTTTGATTGCTTGCAGGGATAGACCTTTGTGGTTAGGTTGATCGTGCTTCCAGCAATGTCAGTAACCTCAGGAGATTTGTTTAGCGATTGGTAAGGCGCAACGTCTTGCACATTTGTAGTCGGATCGTCAAAGTTGACTCCAGCAAATCGATAGTTATCATCTCATCGAAAGATCGGGACCATCGCCTCTATCAAGTGGTATCAGTTTTCAGGTTGCTCGGTGAGAATTTCCAGTTTTTCCTAGATTAGATTTATTATCTTACCTATTGTCCAAGAAAAAGCCACAAAAAAGTTAGATCTATTCATCCTTTGTCCAAGCCAGTCTGAGCCTTTGCATTTTTCTTTTCATTGCTTGCATAGTTGGATTAACGGTTGCATCATTGTGTCGAGTTGCTGATCTTAGTGTCTAGTTCGTTTAGAGTTTCGAGTTCTGTTCACATTAGTCATGCCGCCGCTGCATCGTTATCCCTTCCTCTGTCCATCACCCATCCATCAATTTCCACCACGTGCTACCCATGGTTCATTGTCACAATCATAGTTGAGGTCATTCACATCTTCACTAGATCCAATCTGCATCTTATCTAGTTTGTCTTGGAAAGAGGGAGAGAGAAAGAAAAGGTACAGAAAAAAGTTAAAAAAGTCAGAAAATTAGAGAAAGAAAAAAAAGTGTGAGGAAAAAAGAGAAGGAAAAAAATTCGGATCTATCTAGACTCAATCTCGTAGCTGATTTCGGATTGGAATCTGTTTCGTGCACTGTTCAGTAAAACAACCATAACTTCCTCATACGAAGGCCGTTTTGGCTCTGCGAGTACTCAAATTAAAGCTAGCGACGAGCCGAATCTAAATAGTTGCAGAGACAAGTTCAATATTTGGCACCTTAAAATCGGCATCTAAATAGGTCTTTTTGCCCTCTGATGTTCACAACATAGCTTGTTCCGGATTTTCACGCTAGTTTTAGAATTTTTTTGACTCCTCATCTCAACTCGGAACTGAGTGATTTTTTTTACAATTGAAAGATTGAGTCAGTGCCATTCTTAAGAAAAATCATCAAAAACTTTGGGAGAAAGTTGTTGTATATCTTGCTTGGTAGTTGTTTTTCATCATTATCTTTACTGTCGTTGTGATCTTCACTTATATCACTACAAGAAAGTTGTTAATCTGTGGCAGTCGCTGTCCGTCACAGACATGACAAAAACCGTCAAGCATGGCTCCACGTGACGATCCTACAATTCATCATGTATATCGCGTCATAATTTGCCAACCCGTCCATCCTTGACGGATTTTGGTTTCCGTCATGATCCATGACGGTCTTTCTTCGTCATCGGTCTGCCCCTAGGCCCGTTCGGCCCGCCCAAGGCACGATCCTCTGTGACAGACTGTTCCGTCACGGATTTACATGACATGTAGTAAGATGAGTACCATGTGCCGCCCACGTGGGTCTGACGTGGCGCCAACGTGGGTCTGACGTGGCGCCAGAGTGGGTCTGACGTGGTGCCAGCGTGGGTATGACGTGGCATCGTGCAAGCCCATGTAGCATTCGGCCCAATATGGTCTGGCCCATTTATTTTTGTATGGCCAGGCCTATTAGCCCATTTTACCATAGCCTGGTTGGCCCGTTTGTTTTGGGCTGACCCATTTCTACTTGTTCAATATTCACATCGGCCCATCAAAATTACAGGCCACTCATGTTTTTTGTTTAACCACGAAGTCCATTTCCAGGCCCACTTCGTCCGGCCCGTTAGTGTTTATTCAACCCGGCCCGTCCCATTTTTGTTTTTACGCACAATGTGTGCTAACATTGAGCTTACATATCAAGATCCACTAACATCAGAAGACAAAGGCACAAAATCACAAAGATAGAAAAAAGACACAACATCAGAAAGCACAAGTAACATTGGGCTTACATCTCCACATGCACTGAACATGGAGCAGCAAAATGCAACAAGTTTGCTTCCAATAGTGTGTAGTTTGCACAACAAAAGCATTACAAAATAAGAAGGTTGGTTCCAGCGGTATATTACATTCACATGGCTTCCATGCATCAAGTAGAGAAAGACACTAATCTTGGACTCAAACAACTTACCCTTGAGCTGATCTTGGTTGCAACTAACTTAGCAAAAAGTCTAGTTTTGCATCCACCACAACTTGCTTCTTCATGTTCTCCTCATCTCTCTTCTTGTGCTCATCGTCTTCCCTGATCCTTGCTTCTTCAGACTCCTTCAACAGCTTGGTCAAGGTGTCAACATGTGCCCGAAGCTTGACATTGTCCCTCTTCTCCGTTGCCACTTCTACACTGGATCTCGCATGGACATGCTGGATCCTCACATGCTGAAGAAACCTTGGCTTCTTAGTGTTCTTAGCAAGCACTTCAGCTATAGCCTCGGTTGCAGAGTTTGATTCCTGACCATCTTCTGTAGGTTGAGAGGCCTTGTTTTCCATCTCATTCTAGCAATGCAAGCAACAATCATGGTTATAAGACGGCTTAAGCACAAGTAGAGAAGACGTCAGCAACAAGCTTACATATATCGTCTTTGTAGGGAAAGCTATCATGTGTCCTTTACAACTAGACATTTGTGATAACAGTTAGACTAATCTTTTTTCTGTGTGGAGGTGATTCAGGTTATTCATATATACTATCATCTACAACAAAGTGGACTACTTCCTGAATTAACTACAAGTGAGTAATGTTTAAGTCAAATTATTTCTAGAAGTAAATCTCTAAAATATATATACTAAAAGATAAGACAATATATATACTAAAAGATAAGACATTGAGGATGGCCAAAATTGCAATATACAGGGCATGTTTGGATTCTGCCCAAGCTGGCCGTGCGAATGCGAGGGCGAGCCAAAATATTGGCGACCGTTTTGGCCGCCCGAACTTGGCCAGCTCATTGGCGAGAAATTCAAATACACAGCGGAATGGAGCATGCGCACGCCAAATTATTGGCTGCAATCCAAGCAATGCCCAAGAATCTGGTCAACGCCAATTATTTTGGCTTCGCAAGCTGGGGCATCCATCCAAACAACCTCATAAAGCCAAATATTAGATTAATACAAAACTCTATAATTTTAGGTGGCTGATCAAGCACATGTCAAAGTGATTATGTGATTTTATTAAAGTCATTTCATCTAGCCACACATAAAAGAAAAACTAATGTTTTTCAATCGCTTCAAATCACATCAGTTATCTGAAAAAAGTGTACAATCATACAGGATAGACTATTACAAGATAGTTAAGTGAACATGTTAACATTTTCAATTAAGATACGCCGACATTTGATTATCAGTTTTCAATCAGGTAACGTGACTCAAACAATATTAGTTCTAGCCATGCAGAAAGGTAAAAATTGATGATTCGTAGTCTTTTGAAGCTGACTTACAATTGCAGCATGCACGACATCAGTGTAACTTTTCTTTTTCTTGCTGTAGTGACACTCCTTGAACAAATCCAATGCCGTGGGTTCTTTATCTTTGTATTTGTCGCCCTGGAAACAACAAATATGAAGGCAAGGGAGCATCATACACAGTTACTACATGGACGCAATAGTTTACATGAACCTATGGTCGTGAATATTTCTCATGACAATGCACATCCAGAGCCACATGTTTGACTTACCAGATTATCACAATGCATAGGATAGTTGCGCGCGCCAGTAGTTTGGTGAAAGTTAACTTGAGCTCGATTATTTTTGTTAATTTTACATATCCCCTACATCAATAGACCGACTACATGTAAGGCACACTTTCTACATTAGCATATAGAAGGCGAGAGATTGTTCTCGAGGAAGAAACATACCATCTTTTTGGGATCATTGCAGCTTTCCACCAGCTCATTCCACTGCTCATCAGTCATCGTGGGGACAGGAGAAGTTCTCGTCACCAAATGGAGTGAGTGAGGGTCAAAAAACTCTTTCTTGAGCCTATATCGTTGTTGGCGAGTCGCACGTTTCAGCATTTCATTACAAGCCTTCCTAACTGGCACAACATCTACGTCCATCTGAAACTTGTTCTAGTCCGATGAAAAAACATGTGTAAGTATCATGATTGCACATAATTAACACAATAGCACAAAATTGACAGGTTGATAGCCATTAGAGGGAGAAAGGCTTGGACTATGTACTTACACCAACTTTGCCTACAAAGTTCCTGAAGATCCCATCTCGGACATGTCCATCTGGGTCCTTGTAATCCTTCCAGCGCTTAAACACAGGCATATGGTGTCTGACTGTGACGTTGCATTCAGTTGCAAACTTTGCAGCAAGAAGAGGTGCCTCTGGCCTTATCCTCCCTTCTGGAATGACAAGCGGTAGTTTGCCCTGCCGGCGTCGAGTGATCCTTTCCAGGCCTTTTCCCAAATTAGGCCCCCTTTCCCTTGGCTCTTCATAGGTTTGTGGACCTACAAAGAAAGTAAAATCAAGAATTGGATACAATTAGACCGTAATTACAAAGTATAGACATGTACTAATAAATGGAGAACATCTTTTCAAAAGGAGCAACTGTAATAACGGGAATTAAGCTCACAAAAAAGCCAAGACAATATACTGGTAACCATATGGCGGCAACAATTAAATGGAATATTATAGTTCACATGTTATCTATCATGTTGGTGTGTTTCTCATTGTTACTTGTTACAAATGCACAGGTTACCTGGAACTAAAGACACGGTTCGAGAAGATTTCGACAAAGCAATATCTTCAGCAAAGACAGAAGAAGAGAAAACTAAATCATGATTTCAGATTAGACCATAAGCTGTCAGGTCTGTACATATCTATATTCAGTGAGTATATGGATATAATCCATTGCAAGAAACACACTTTTAAATACGAAGTAAGTAAATTGTCCTTATTTAAATACTGTGATTTTAATAAATGAGCAATGGAGTTGTCCTTGAGAATATCATCGTCCTACAGCACTGGAATGACTCATAAAAAATTATGCGCACATATGGTATAAATTAAGCTTAGTAATACACATGAAGTTGCAGTCAATAAGATAAAAAATTATGGTTTATATTAAGTATAGTTTAGACAGCAAGATGCATAGAACAATAGATTGAACAAGAAGTTTAACTCTAATAGATCCTACAAAGATTCAGGTTATAACATGCCTTCAGAGTTATTGTTAGGTTGGGTTTCCTGATTTGGTTGGGCACTACCACCAGCTTCGCTGGCCATCTCATTGTGACCACTACCACCAGCTTCGTTGGCCATCTCATTGTCATCATCACGATGGGCAATAAGATCAGCTCCATTGGCAATCCAGTTGTCATCCTCACAATGTGCAGGGTCATCATATTTTTAGAAAAAATCATCTAGTGAGAGTATGTTCATCATGCAATCCGAGCTAATTGACTAGGCTAGCAATTCATAATAAAAAACATAGTAAGGAAATTGCCTTCAACACCATGGTCATCAAAGTTGGGAATAATTTCTTCAGCTTGGCGGGCATAAGCCACAGAAGCAGTTGGCTTATCGATGACACTTGGTGTCTGATGTTTAGGATCCAACATCTCCTCACTTTGAGTACTTGCATCAACATCTTGTAATAGATCTTTCTTCGACCTTGTGACTCGCGATTGAGTAGGGATGTCCGCATGAACTCTCTTAGGAGGCCGAGGCTTGACTCCACCAGGGGGCATGGCCGCAGATCTTTTCTTACTAGTTTTCTGACTAGTCTTCTTACAGCCTGATAGATATGAAGACATGGTTTAATCAACAAATTGTAACAAAATTCTGCTCCAATGGCAAACATGCAACATATCTAAGCAATGAATGACTAGATGGAGGAATTTAGCACCTTAGAGTTTGAGCTAGCAGCAGGTGTGGACTGCAGTGCTTCTGTTTCATCTACTAAACTATCATCGGACGACTCTCCTTCACTCGTATTGTCCTTGTTAGGATGGTACTCAGCTTCAGAATCATCAGAACTATGCTTGGGATATTTTTTTCAGGTGAAATGATAGTTTTGGCTGCAAACAGTTTGATAGTGCAGGAATTCCGAGTGATTGCAGCACTGAATTGTTCCTTATGCATATTTTGATGCGCGACTCTTCCAAAGGATGCATCGGTGGTTCTAAGATGAGTGAACACATGAACAATAATTACTATGTGTAAAATCTGTACTTAATAACAAATTACTACTTTTGTTATTAATTTGGCAAGAATATGTGACCCAAATCTACACTTGACAGCACAAGACCCTTATTTCAAATGTACGGCCAGAACTCTAATGAACAAGAAACACTAGCAATTGAAAATCAAGCACAAGCAAAAAGCTTTTACCACATATCCTTTAGACATACATATGCATGAACAATAAATAGGCAGGCGTGGGTGGGTTAAGAAGGTATACCTGCTATCTTTCGTCCTCGGGGTCTCTTCGCAACAGTCTTCTTCCCCATCGGTGTGGCAGATAGGTCCTGAACCATGTCTGAAATTTTTGTTGAAGCTCTTTATCACTATCCGGCAACCGTTTCCTATTTAACTCATCTCTGAACATACTGTAAAATAAAACAAATTAGTCTCGTGACATATGTACAACACAATGCAACAAACGCAAGTTTCAGAAGTGACAACGTACTCGATATATTTCTTAGCTTGATCACAATTGTTCAACACATACCACACCATCTGGTCAAATTCTTTTTGCTCATGCACATATTCATATTCATATCCTGAAGTAAAATTAACTCCATGCCCAAAAACGTCAACACCATAGGCTTCTTCATCTGAAAAACCTACATTTCTTGGTTTTCGATTAAATATTGTTTCAACATCATCCATGTACTTGGAGCAAAATGTCAGGCATTCATCTGCAATATATGCCTCAGCAATCGAACCTTCTGATCGCGCCCTATTCCTCACATAGCGCTTTAAAGTATATAGCCTTCTTTCAGCTGGGTACATCCACCCATATTATACGGGACCTCGAAGCAATGCCTCTTCAGGTAAGTGTGTGGCAAGGTGCACCATCACATCAAAGAATGCAGGCAGAAATTTTTTCTCAAGCTTGCACAAAATTACAGGGATTTCCTTCTTCATTTCAGCCAAGACATCCCTATTAAGAGTTTTGCTTCATAGTTCTCTGAAAAACTTGCCTAACTCAGCTATTGCTTCATATATATCATTGTCCAAAAATCCTCTCATGCCGGCAGGTAAGATTCTCTGCAAAAGAATGTGACAATCATGTGTTTTCAGGCCTTGTACCTTGGTTCCATCAGCACTTGTGCATCTTGAGATGTTGGAAGCAAACCCATCTGGAAACTTTAACTCTCGTAAAAATTGACAAAATTCAACCACTTGTTCTTTGGGCAAGGTATATCGGGCCCGAGGCATCACATATGAGTCTCCCTCCTTCCTCAATTGCAACTCTTCTTTAATATTCAAATCTTTCAGATCAATCCTAGCATTAAGTGTGTCCTTTGTCTTACCCTCCAG